TCACTGTGGCCAGGTGAGCTTGTTGAAATATTTATATTTTATATAATTGTTTAGGCTTGGTAGTTGTACTGCATGGCCGGATCCTACTGTAGAGGGGACAACTCCCCCCTTCTTGTATCTCCTTCTCTTTCCTATTCACTCGCTTTTTTCTCGACATTTCTGGCCCCTAGCTAAAACCTCTCCCTACCTTCTATGGCTCCTTAGCTAAGCTCCTAACCTCCTACCTACCTAGCTTACCTCAACATGGTTTCAGAGCAGGAGCTCCTTCCTGCTGGGTCGTCTCATCACGCTTCTGCAGCGTTCTCTCCCTCCTCTCGTCGCATTCGCGCCGCCATGGCGGCCATGTCGTGCTACCATGGCGGCTTTGTCGTGCTGCCGTGGCAGCCTCGACGCGCTGCTGTGGCGTCGTCGTGCTGCCGTGGCAGCCCCAGCGTGTTGCCGTGGCATCTACGCCATGCTGTAGTGGCGTCGTCGTGCTGCCGTGGCGGCGTCGACGCGCCAACACACGGGCGGCAGCGGGCCGCACACCGTGTTAGGCGCCAGCCATGACGCCCGCATGCCAGCCAGTGCGCCAGCCCCGGGCACCTTGCTGCCGTACACACCCCCTCCCCCCTCCCCCCCCCCCCCCCCTGGCTCTTCCCTTACTCCATCCGCAACTGATGGCTCCATGCTCGGTCGTCGTCGGGTCGTGCCACGCTGCCGGGTGCCGCGTGCTTAACCGTCGCCGCCGCTTGCCGCCGCCCGCCGGGGGTGTCACCGCTTCGCACGAGGGGCAGATGCCACAGCTGCTGTAGGGCATGGGGGTGCAAGGGGGTTGGGTGGGCTTGCCACTACCAAGCCTAGGGGGTGTGTCGAATTATATATATTTTATATAATTGTTTAGGCTTGGTAGTTGTACTGCATGGCCGGATCCTACTGTATAGGGGACAACTCCCTCCTTGTATCTCCTTCTCTTTCCTAGTCTCTCTCTTTTTTCTCGACATTTCTGCCCCTAGCTCTCGCTAACTTGTATGGCTCCCTAGCTAAGCTCCTAACCTACCTACCTAGCTTACCTCAACAGAGCTCGCGTCGGACTGCATGTATGAATTTGACGAAGGGCCAGTCAGGCCCCTCACACCTGCTCCAGCTCGCGTAGGACTGCACGCGTGATTTTGGCGCCCCTCACACCTGCTCCAACTCGCCTCGAACTACAGTACAGTACCTGCGTCATTTTAGCGAAGGGCCTAGTCAAGCCCCTCACACCTTCTCCAGCGCGCCTCGGACTACAGTACCTGCATCATTTTGGCAAAGAAACAGTTACGCCCCTCAGCGCGCTGTAAATGGGTTGCGCAACCCATCGAGGCTACGCAACCGTGTCTGATTACCGAGCTCGCTGAACCTTGCATGGCGTGTGAAAAATGGGTTGAACTGGATTTAGTTGGGTTAAGTTGGGCATTTCGCCAGTGGCGCAACTGGGGTTGCGGTCTCGACGCAAAGCGCAACCAATGTACCATACCCTCACACCTGCTCCAGCTCGCCTCTGACTTTCTGCGTGATTTTAGTGGAGGAACAATCATGTCCCTCACACACACTAAGAAGCTGAAATTGTAGCAACAAGTTACTGTACAGTAGACAGGGTGATCATTTTAATACCCTGTCCACTAAGGGTACTCATTTTTAAAAACAATTTTACCCTGATTTCAAAGGGTGTCAAAAATTTTACCCTAAGAGATAGGGCAATTTTTTTTAGGTACACTAATTACCAAGGGTGCCTCCAAGCCAATTTTGAGCCTTGTTGACGTTACCCCGCAGAGGTTACGAAAGGGCAACGGTCGCGGACCGTTGACCATGCAACCCAACAGTAAGAATCGCAAGAGTCAAGAGTCAGCGAGACTGCAAGGAAAAATAACCGTCCCGATATTACAGTACTGGTGGTTACCCGAGTCGCCTTATCGATGCATAAAAAGGGAATGTACCCCATGAAGTGCACAAACATGTAGTAGACTCTGTCGAACATATATATAGTTTATGTTTGTATAGACTATATAGGCTCGTATCTTAGAGGGTACAACACATAGGCTTATACCCTTGTACAGTTTTCCCTCGACATTCGATTCTACGTAAAGATGGTATCACGCTTGGTAGGTAGGTCCCGCCGCCCACACTTCCGCCCTAGGCCCTCGTCGCGCCGCACCTAGCTAGTCGCGCCCGTCCTGGCCGCCCCCTGAACCGTCGCGCCCGTCGTAGCCGGCCCCCAGAGCCGTCACGCCCGTCGCTAGCCGGCCCCCTGAGCCGTCCCGCTCGTCGTAGCCAGCCCCCTGCGCCGTCGCGCCCGTCGTAGCCGGCCCCCTGAGCCGTCGCGCCCATCGCTAGCCGGCCCCCTGAGCCGTCCCGCCCATCATAGCCGGCCCTCTGCGCCGTCGTGCCCGTCCTAGCCGGCCCCCTGAGCCGTCACGCCCGTCGTAGCCGGCCCCCTGAGCCGTCACGCCCGTCGTAGTCGCCCCCCTGAGCCGTCGCGCCCGTTCCTAGCCGGCCCCCTGAGCCGTCGCGTCCTTCCTAGCCGGCCCCCAGAGCCGTCGCGCCCGTCGTAGCCCCCCCCCCCCCCCCCCCCCCCCCCCCCCCCCTCTCTGAGCCGTCGCGCCCGTCCTATCCGGCCCCCTGAGCCGTTGCGCCCGTCCTAGCCGGCCCCCTGAGCCGTCGCGCCCGCTCCTAGCCGACCCCTCGCGCCCCTTCGCGCCCGTTCCCAGCCGGCCCCTAGTGCCCGTCGCGCCCGTCCCTAGCCGGCCCCTCGCGCCCCCATCGCGCTCGCTCCGTCCCGGCCCCTTGCGTCCGCCCCTTGTCGGCCTTGCGCCCTCTCCTAGCCAGCCCTTTCACGCCCGATCCGCGCCGGCCCCGCGTTTGTTTAGCCGCCAGCCCACCTCCGACTCGTGCCAAGCCCGTCCTTCCCAACCAGCACCGCACTGCACCGCCCGGCACCGCTCGGCACCGCCCTGCACCGCATTGCACCACATTGTACCGCACTGCACCGCGCTGTACCGCATAGCACCGCACAACACTGCGCTGTACCGCTCTGCACCGCACAGCAGCGCACTGCACCGCTCTGCACCGCACAGCACCGCACTGTACCGCTCTGCACCGTACAGCACTGCATCGCTGCTGCATCGCTTCTGATGGCGGACTCCGTGCTCCGCTTCAACGTAGAGGGACAGCCGACCGAGTTTGACACGTGGCTGGTCGACCTCCGGCGTCACCTCACTGGTCAGCGGCAGGACGGCCACTCCCTGGCGGTCCACCTTGACGGTACGCTCCCCTGCCCTGACCCCCCTGCTCCCCTGCCCGCTGACCCCTCGTCCGCTGACCGTGAGTCCGCTGCAGCTGCTGCCCTTGCCCGCTCAGTCTGGCTGTCACGTGACGCTGTCGCGCAGCTTGCGATCAGTCATGCCCTCCCCCTGTCTGAGCGCCCACGCTTTAGGTCAGTTACTACTGCGTAGGAATTTCTAGAGGTCGTCGTCAAGCGCTATTCCACCCCGCCTGCTGCCTCTGTAGGTTGCCTGATCCTGCCGATGCTCTTCCCTGACCTTGCGTCCTTCCCTACTGTTGCTGACCTCGCTGCTCACCTGCGCACAATAGACGCGACCTGGCGTGCTGCCTGCACTGAGACCCAACTTAGAGCCTTTCAACCGCCCCTCTGCTCTGCCCTCTACCTGCTGGCCACCCGCCTCCCTGATCGCCTTGGTACTGCCCGCGACCACTTCTTTAGCACCCACCCTGGTGACCTCACCCTCACTAACTTTGTCGACACCCTGACTGCCATAGAGACCCGCCAGCGCTCTATCGCCCAGACCAGCGGTACTGTGCCGGTCCCTATCTTTCAGGGTTGTGCCCCCGCTCAGTGCACCTTCTCCGACGGTTCTGCTGCTGTGGCTTAGTCCGCCGCTGCAGCGCAGATCCGTTCCGGGAAGGGCCGCCGCCCCAAGGCTGGGCGCGGCGGTAGGGGTGGCGGTGCAGGTGGAGGTGGTGGTGGAGTCGGGTCGCTTAGTGGTAGCGGTGACGAGGGGACCCTGACAGGTGCAGCCAAGCAGCCGCCTCAGCAGTCGCAGGTATCGCAGCCGGACACGCACCAGCCGCAGCAGCCGCAGCAGCAGCCCTCGCACCAGCCTCAGCAGCCGCAGCAGCAAAGGGGGGCGAGTGGCCTCCCGCCCGGGTGCCCTGGCGCTGGTGGTGGCGGTGGACGTAGTGGTCGTGCGCGTGGTGGGCTGCCGGGTTGCGGGTCGGGTGACGCGCGCTGTCAGTATCAGCTCCAGACCGGTCCTCACCGTGGTTCTGTTTGCGGTAAGATCGGTCACACCTCCGTCCGCTGTTTCCGTCGCCTGGACGACCTGTTTCGTAAGCGCTTCGGCCCGTCGCCCGACCTCCCCGACTGGCATAGCTTGTTTCGCCGTAGCGTTCAGATGTTTGATATGGACATGGATGAGATTGTTGCTGCCCTGCATGAAGGCCCTTGCGCCTAAAGATCATCAACGACACTGCGTACAGCTAGGCCTTGTTCCTGTTACCTCTCATCTGCTAGGGCCTTGACTATGTACTGACCTTTATATATTTTTTTTATCCTTGACTGGCCTTGTGGCCTCTCCCAGTGGCTGGACTAGTGGTGCCGCCCTGGTCTTGCCCTTGCACTGGTCTGTACTTGCTTGACTGGTCTTTAGACCCTTGACTCAGAGGGTGGACTAGTAGTGCCGCCCTGAGTTGCCATTTCTCTCATCAGGAACCGCACCTATGCAGTCTAGGGGGTGTGTCAAACATGTATATAGTTTATGTTTGTATTGACTGTATAGGCTCGTACCTTAGAGGGTACAATACATAGGCTTATACCGTTGTACTGTTTTCCCTCGACATTCGATTCTACGTTAAGAGACTCTTCATATTCTCTTGTATTATGATATAAGCCTTGTATCCCTTTGCTATTAATCAATCACTTATTCTCACATACCAATTACAAGGGTTCAACCCAAAACTTCCGCTATGGTATCAAGCACTCTGTTACAAGGACTTAGCCTTCTGAAAACATCCTAGGGCTTTTCTCAGTCCAACAAGTAGCACCACCATCATATTGGCATTCATGCTCTTGCCCTGTCTTCCTCCTCTTCTTGGCAAGCTTAGGCTTATCCTTCCCCTTCTTCCTCTTGTCCGTGCTCTTCTCCTTGTTATTCCCCTTCTCCTTGATTCAAAAATTATATTCATTCATAGGCAGACTGGGCGCATCTTCCCACCTTGCTATCAAATAACACGTTGCAAGAGGTTATTGGGGCCATTGGGCTGGTCGATGGCCGCTAGCTTCATCGTGGCATTCACCAGCTGACCTCTGTCACCCATAAACGCAAACTGCGAAAGTGCCAACAAGGCCTTGCGGGTAGGATCTGCAGCCAGTGCCTCTGGAGTAAGCCCATTGAAATACCACTGTCTCGCGGCGTAGTGGACGATGACAGAGGGGCAGCTGAGGTCACACGGCGCACTGTTGCTGTAGAGAAAGAGGTACACGGTAGAGATACTGGGCGGCGGGGGAGTAGCACCACCATCATCGCAGCACTCATCCTCCTCCCCCTTCTTCCCCCTATGCTTCTTGTCGCATGTGGGCTTATCCTTCCCCTTCTCCTTGCTCTTGCCCTTGTTATTCCTGTTCTCCTTCTCCTTCCCCTTCTCCTTCTGTGCCGAGCACCCTCCAGCGGGGGTGGTGCTGAGGGGTGCCACGGCATCCTGGAGGTTGACGATGATGCTGGTGGCGACGGGCTCCTCAGTCGGCACCACCACGACGAAAATGAAGCTCACTTGGAAGTACAGCCCATCGTCGCTGTAGGAGAGAGAGATGTTGGCGCCGCCAGGCATGTAGGAGAGGAAGCGAACCGAGTATTGAGGGTTCTGCACGTATGCTGGGATGGGGCCAGCTGCATCTGCAGGCGGGAACAGAGGTGCACGGGGGAAGGATGCACCGCAGGATGGGGCAGGCGCAAAGTTAGCTTATCACAGGGAAACGGTGTGCGAGAGGCTAGCTTGGCATACAAGGGTGGGAAAAGGGATCTCTGCATGGCGTCGACCTGTTGCTGCCCCAGCACCCCACGCCCCCACCCAAAATTAAGAGCCACCCTACACTTATGGAAGTCAGCTAAAACGCGTACAGAATCGCTGCGTGGCGTCGACCCGAAGCTGCCCCATCACCGGGCGCAGGCCACCACCCGTCGTCTGGGGGTAAGCCATGACGACCCCGGGGAACAGGAACGAGTTGTCGATGAGCTGCAGCAGCGCCGAGTACCGCTCGGGGTCAGTGCCAGCCATGCTGAAGAACGTGCCCTCAGCCACCCACACGGACTGCACCGGCTGGGCCCACACGGCATGGCCGTAGGCAGGGGCGGGAGGCGGCAGGCTGCACTTGGACGGGTCGCAGCCGGGGACGGCTGTGCCTGCCAGGGTGATGTAGGCGGGCGGGCCGGCGGGCAGCGCGGCGAAGATCTTGTACTGCGCTTGGATGAATGACGCGTTGCTGTAGAAGCTGGACGTGGGTGGGGGGAGATGGGGGAGATAGGAGGGAAGTTATATTTAATGAGGCGAGCCTCAACGGAAGATCTTGTACTGCGCGTGGATGAATGACACGTTGGTGTAGAAGCTGGGTGGGCGGGGGAGGGGAGATGGGGGGGGGTGAAAGGGAGAGGTGAGGATGGTGGGATCATCTGGTGATGTAGGTGGGCATCTGCGAAGCTACAGGCATCTGTCCAACGATCAAAATGTGGCTGGTGGGGAAAAGTTTCAGCGACTTTTCGCAAGTGGAAACGTAGAAGCTGGTGCGGTCAGGTGGAGGCTGGGAAGATAGAAGAGAAGCTACTGACGATCAATAAGGGGCGGGTGGGGAAACGTTTCAGCGACGTACCTCAGTTTGAGGTAAATAACCGCTCGGGACTCGCCGTCGACCAGCTCCGCAAAGTGATAGGAGTCTGCGACGATTGCGATTAGGAGGACGGGGAAGAGGACGACGGGGAGAGGAGAACTTCGTTCCAGCGAGAGGACGAGAGGGAGGACGAGCGGGAGGACGCAAAAGATTGAGAAATGATGCCAGCAGGTGCGTGAGGAAGGGAGAGAACGATGCGAGCAGGAGCTCTCTCCCGTCATCGGTCCAACATCAGCGCGTACGTGTCAACAAGAACCGTGATACATCCCAAAATACCAGGATCAGAAATACGGAGTAGGTATACAGTAGGTACAGCATAGGTACGTCTGCTACGGAGTAGACTTGCTATACGAACAACTATACCTACAATATAGGAGAGATCCACATTTTTGTGACTAGTAGGCTCCCGAGAAAAAAAAAGCACCGGAACAAGTGCATGCGCGAAGAGCCGAACACCGGAACGAGTGTTTTTCTCGTTAAACTAACAGACGGTCTACAAAGAACGAATCAGACTCCCAGAAAACGGAACATTCGGAAGCGCGAGGAGCGGAACACCGGAAGGAGCGTGCGGGAGGCGCGTGGGACGTACCAGCAGTGGCAGTCGGACTGAACGCGACGATGAGAGCTGCGGCGCGGAGGGAGAGGAGGGGTGAAATGGGTTTGGGACCCGGGGGGGAGGATGATGAGCGTCACGGGACTTGGTGGGGCACGGGACCCGGTGCGACACGTGCAGCACGGCGTGAGAACATAGGGGTTCAATAGTAGAATCATTCTGATAACAGGTAATAACCATGATGAAGGACCGAGCAGCAAACGGAGGAAACAGCGCGTGCTCCTGGTAGAGTGTCCTTCTAGACTCCGAGTCAGTCTCGCGAGTCTACTTGGCTCGGGTCTACTTGGCTCGAGTCTACTTGGCTCGAGGCGGCTCACCGACTGCAAGGAGAAGCGGCAGCAAGCGCGGCGAGGCGAGGAACAGTAGTAGCTTCGAAGGCTCCGACATGATGGTGCGGCTGTAACGACGGCTTTTCTGCTCGAAATTAACTCTGAATTTGCTAGTAGGATTAACGAAGGTATTAAAGTCGGAAGAACGGTGCGCGCACAAGAAAACCCGCTCTCAAACAACGCTGGGAGCATGTATTTTAAGAAAGCCGCGGATGTGCAGCATCGCAGCCGATCTCGGCTGAAAGCTTCCGCTGAAGCCAATCTCCACTGCCAGGGTCCGTGCCAGGAGAAGAAAGCAGTGGGGGGGGAGAGGGGGGGGATAACACAAAGTCTGCTGATATCGCCTGGCCCAGTCAAAGAGGGTCAAGTCAAGCGAAGGGTCGAAAAGGGGTGATGTTTGCATTTGCAGCAGGTAAGGGCCAGGGGACAAGGTGGAGGAGGGGGAAGCTTGTTTCTGAAGATCGAAAAGTCGAAATGCAAATTGATGAGGAGGATGAAGGAAATGCGTGTGAAGGATTCGGAATTTTGGATTCTTCCGGCTCGTCCTTCGCGATTCGGCTAATGGATTCCTTGACGCTTGACTTGCGCTGTTGCGCTGGCTGCACTGTATCTGTAGTAACAGCCGTCCGATCACGTAGAAGTTCTGCATCGTAGGTCATACACGTGCCATCGATGTGACAAAGCATGGACTTCAAATGGGATTGGATGCTACTCGAGACCAGACCGTTATATCGTATACTAACGGAGATGAAGCAAGCACGTCCGATAACAAGAGGCTTAAACCAAATGCATTTAGCAATTACACTTCAAAGCTTCTTCATAACAAACCAAGCACAGGTACTAAGAATGGGGGCTTCTAAGCCCCGTACGTCACCTCCCAGCTTCACCATCCTCACTTTCGAATCTCGCCTTAATCCCTTGAAGGACTGGAGATATTCTAGTAACATCTGCTTGTACACTATCTGTACAACCCCCATGGCTAAACACTAGGTGGTATATGAGTGAGGACACATACGAGAGATGGTTGTAGCAGGCATTAGCGCATCCATCTGGTCTGATTTCGAGGACCGAGGCCCTTTCTGGCATGAAGATAAGGTTGGTGAGCGCTGCCCCATGGCCGGCTACGAACAGACGAGTGCGACGAAACAAGTCGCGAGCTGCAGGGGGGAAGAGGCGGGGGACGGGGATGGCAGGGAGGAAGTGGCGATGCATTGTCGAGGGAGGGAAGGCACAGAGATAAGGTTGGTGAGAGTTCCGCCATGGCTGGCTATGAAAGGACAGACGCGACGACGAAACAAGGGGCGAGCTGCAGGGGGGGGGGGGGAGAAAGAGGAGACATGGTCAGAGAGAAAGGAAGATGACAAGGGAGCAAAGAGAGGAAGAAGGGACAAGAGAGTAAGCGGCTGGACATGGCACGAGGACAAGCATGAGGAGAGTTGAGAAGACACTATCACACACACCTTCCAGCATGGGCAGCGAGCCAGTGAAATTCACAATCCTCTCCCTAGAAAATGTCCTATGCACTGCCTGCTCCACCTCATCAAAGTTACTAATGGATCGCCTTTTAGCAGGTCTCTATGCCAAGGAAGGACGCCCGTACATGACAAGCTTACCTTCCAGCATGGACAGCGAGCCAGTGAACTTCACAACCCTCTCTCTAGGAAACGTGCTCTCCACCGCCTGCTCCACCTCGTCGAAGTTACTAATGGATCGCTTCTTAGCAGGTCGCTTCGCCACCACCACCACCCAGTCCCCTGGCAGCGCCAGCGCCTGCTGTGGCGTCAGCGGCGGCGGCGGGCGGTAGGACCAGTCGGGGCGGAAGAGAGGCAGCCCCCGTGGGTGCAGCAGGTGGCTCCTTCTTAGGGACTGCCAGAGGGCTTTAGCGGGGGAGCCACAGGTCTGGGCTGTAGGCTGGACGCAGGAGGGGGAGAGGGGAAGAGAAGGGAGGAGAGGCTTATTATGCACCTTGACCAGCCGGGCAGGAAGAGTTGGAGGCAGCGTAGGTGCAGCATATGGGTCTGGTGCAGCCAGCGTAGGTGCAGCGGCTGCCAGAGAGATTTAAAGGGGCTGCCACATGTCTGGGGGATGGGCTGGGAAGGATTGAGGGCCAGATAATGGCATGTCCCCAAAGGCTATTCGGAAATACCAGAAAGTAACCAGCAAACACGAATGCGCACCTCATGAAGTGCTTCCACGAAATGACCCATGGAGTGAGTCGACTCAACAGTCATGCGCACCTGATGAAGTGTTTCCACGAAGAACAGATCGCCAGCTATGAGCGGCACTGCATATCCTTGCACTTGATCCCTATGAGCTCTTCGAGCAGGCAATGGTGATCCCTATGAGCTGGCATGAGCTGTTGTTAGTCGTTTACCTCAAAGAGTGTTTCCACGAAGAAGAGGTCGTCAGCTATGAGAGGCAGCACCCGCACGTCCTCGTACTTGATCCCTATAAGGGCCTCCCCGAACTGCTTGTACACTTCCCACTGGGAGACACGTGGATGGGAGGGGGGGGGGAGAGGGAAGGGAGTTTAGGGAGAGGGAAGGGGGTGTAGGGAGAGGGAAGGGAGAAGAGGGAAAGGGCCACGAGGACATGAGAGGGACTAATCATTCTACCGGCTACAGGAGGCAGCACCTTGATTCCTCGAAACCCTGAGGAACGGCCGAATCAGCTCACCTGCATTCTGCTGGCGAGAATCGGGGTGGTGGGCATGATGCGACGCAGCAACGGCGCAGCCACGAGTAGCAAGGGCAGGGTTTCCGCTATGAAGTGGTAGAAGTTGAAGCCATAGGAGTTGCCCCAGAAGAACGCCCTGGGCAGCAGATGCACCTGCTGCTTCGCCTGAAAGGACAGCTGGGGAAGCAGAGAGGTACGGAGGCATGGTTTCCGCCAAGCAATTGGTGGAAGTTGAACCCAGGTGAATTCTGCAGGCAGCAATTGCAGATGCACCTGCTGCTGCCTCGTTTCACAGGCCACCTGGGGAAGCAGGGAGGCACGGAGGCACGGTTTTTGCTGCGCAACTGTGCAGATTCGAGCCTATAACAGTCCCAAATGGAAACTGCAGGCAGCTGAGGCACCTGTCGCTGCACCTGGAAGGAGACGTGTGAAAGGGGAAAGAAAGCAGGCACGCGTGTGTGTGGTTGCATGCGTGTGTGGGTGCGTGTGTGTGTGGGTGCGCGTGTGTGTGGGTGCATGTGTGTGTGCATGCGTGTGTGTGGGTGCGTGTGTGTGGGTGCATGTGTGTGGGTGCGTGTGTGTGGGTGCGTGTGTGTGGGTGCGTGTGTGTGGGTGCGTGTGTGTGGGTGCGTGCGTGTGGGTGCGTGTGTGTAGGTGTGTGTGTGTGGGTGCGTGTGTGCGTGCGTGTGTGTGGGTGCGTGTGTGTGGGTGCGTGTGTGTGGGTGCGTGTGTGTGGGTGCGTGGGTGTGGGCGCGTGTGTGTGGGTGCGTGGGTGTGGGTGCGTGTGTGCGGGTGCGTGTGTGTGGGTGCGTGTGTGAGTGGAGTGCGTGGGATGAGGGTGACGGCACAGTTGCAGCAAATACTGCACGCTGTACACTCCCTTGACAACCATGTCCACTCATCTCCTCCACACCCCAGCCCCTCCTCCCCCCTTGACTACCAAGTCCGCTCCCCACTGCTGGATGACCACACCACACCATGTCCACCACACCCCAGGCCCCCCCTCCCCCCTGGACGACCATACCTGGGCAAGGCACCTCGCTACACCTGCCTCGCTACACCTGCCTCGCTACACCTGCCTCGCTACACCTGCCTCGCTACACCTGTCGCAGCTGCTTGTGAGGCGAATCAAAGCACCCCTCGTAGGTGACTATTGAGTCGACTCAAAAGTCACCTCCGAATCAAAGCACCCCCCGGCCTCCCCTTCTCCCAGGACAACCATGCCTGCAGCCTGCTCACCTCATTAAACCTGCCACATCCGGGGCGCACGAATCGGTGGGTGCGGTTGAACACGTAGCCCTTGTCCGTGACATACGCGCCCTTGAGCTCAAACATCTGCAGCGCCATGGGGTTCCGTGGGTTGAAGTCGTCCCGGTGGGAACACGTCTCATCATACCCATCCGACGCATGCTTCCTTGCGTGCACATCCATGATCGTAGTGTTGTTTCTTTTCGGGCAGTTTACGGGCGGGTCGAGAAAAACCGTGTCTGGGTCGACTAGGTTCGGGTTCCAGCAGGCCCGGAGGTTCGGGAAGCTCGGCCCGCAGCTGGTTAGAGCGGGACACGTGTCGCCGTGGCATTGGGCGAGCGTGCCCCAGTGGGTGTCGTGCTCGAGGTACTGCAGCAGCACAATCGGTTGACTCGAGAAGTTAAGGTCGAAGCCAAGAGGTTCGACGAATAGATTGGTCCTCTCAGGATGGGTCCTGGGGATCGGGAAACCCAGGGGAGGGAGAAAAGAAGGGAGGCATGGGAGAGAGGAAGGGGAGTGCAGCGTGAGGTGGTGGGTGCGAGGCGTGAAGTGCGGATCGCGTCGCAGCCCCAGTGCGTGTCGTGCGCAAGGCACTGTAGATGGGGAAACCGAGAGGCTCAACAAAGGGATTGGTTCTTTAGGATGGGTCCTGGGGATCGGGAAATCGAGGGGAGGGAGAAAAGAAGGCAGCTATGGGAGAGAGGACGGGGAGGGTGGCGCGTGCACAAAACGCTGATCGGGGATAGACAATAGCACCCCCAGGGCGTGGGGTGCTGGATGTAATGTCGCAGCATAATCAGCCGGTGGAGAAGTTGAGTGTGTGATGAGACTATTTTTTAGTCGACTAAAAATTGGGCTCATTGCACACCATCGCACCCCCAGAGCGTGAGTGCTGGAGTTACTGTAGCAGCATAATCCGCCGGTGGAGAAGTTGAGGGCGAAGCCGAGAGGCTCAACGAAGAGATTGGCTCTTTCTGGATGGGTCATAGGGAGGGAGAGGGAGGTTCAAGGGAGGTTCAAGCGAGGTTCAAGGGAGGTGCATAGTACTGCAGGACTCCGGATGGGGGCTCGGATGGGGGCTCGGATGGGGGCTCGGGTTGGAAATCCGTGCACAGAGCTGACCTGATGGACACCAGATAGGGACAGGCACGTAGCTTTGATCCTCACCTGACAGGTAGAGGTGCGTAGTACTGTAGCGCACCTGACAGGTAGAGGTGCGTAGTACTGTAGCGCACCTGACGGGCAGAGGCACGTAGTACTGTAGATCGGCTTCAAAGGCCTTCACACGCCCCACCAGCTGCAGCTGCCTCCGATGACCGCTGCTGCCATTGCCGCCATGCATGGTGATACGACTGCTGCCATTCGCATGCATGGTGATACGACTGCTGCCATTCGCATGCATGGCGACATGCCCGCTTGCGTCGATGCTGCTACTGGCATGGACATGGGCGGCGCTGTTGGGCTGGCAAGAGGCAAGCGCCGGGATGGAATGGGTTGGCAATGAGAGATGCGATCATGCGACTGCATGAGACAGTCTGGCGACGAACGCGATGAGATGCGACGAGCTTGCGAAACGATGCGACGTCATGCGCGATACGAATGATGGCGACAGGACGGCGGAGAATCACACCTACTGAGTCATGCCGTGGAAGCCTCGTGGAAGCATCATCATGGCTGGCGTAAGTCCCGGTAAGAGTGGCCAGGAGGAAGCATCGAAAAAGGAGGTAAAACAACTCTTTGAAGGGGAGCTTGAAGACTCGGGCATTCGCGAGAAGCACGCGCCGCTGACACTGGCAGCGTACGCCGTGTAGATTCGCCGCACGATTGCGATTCGGATTCGCCATTCGTCTGAAGCTCAGTTTCAGGCGTTGACGAGTGTGTAATGAGTCGCTTAATGGCTACAAGTTTCATGCGTTGATGAGCTCTAGCACTAGGCACTAGAAGTGATCACAAGGTGCATCTAACTGAAATTCCATATCACCTGGGAATGGGCGGATAATCGCCATATCACCTCAGGTCGCATTCCAGGCTGTTTCGAACAGATTCCACACTAGAAGGGTAGCTACCCTTGATTCAGAGAAGGGTGCTTTTCAGACAAACGAAAAAATCACGCGATCCTCCGAAATGGACGCAATGCAGCGAGCCCTTACAGGTGAAATATCATGTCACGACAGGAAAAAGGGACCAGCCAGCCAGATCCAGCCTGGCCGTTGATCGCGGTAAATTGAACCGATCGGTAGGTAGGAACTGACCAGATCCGCCCGCCCCTCTCCCCTCCTCGCCCCTCTCTGTCGCGGGCAAAGCTCAAAGTACTGTACATGCATTAGATTAGTGCAGATTCAGGAGAGCTTAGGTAATTTTCTGGTGCAAAATAGCTCAAAACTTGGGCACTCTAGTGCAACTTTCTCCAATTTGCGGCCCTATGGGCTGACGATTAATCACAACGTGCAAGTTAGTACTAGTGGTACGTAAACACTATACTACTGCTTGCTATGGGGTTATACGACTAGCGTTTGTCCAGCAATATGCACGGACAGAGTGGCAGGCTAGCGTGTATATGGCAGCTAAGGTTCAGTCTAATACTTGGTAGGAGGGGGGTATGTGACTGCGCATGTCCAGACGAGATCCACGTCAGATTCAACGACGACACTTGGCGCAACGACAAGGTTCGATGTGCTGACTAAACCACCGAACCGCATAGGTGTGTTTGCTGGTGGGGAGAGAGGGGAAATACAAGAGAGGGGGGTAGCAGAAGGGAGGAGGGAAGGAGGAGAGGAGGTGGGAGAGAGGAAAAGAAAGAGGGAGGAAGGGTGAGAGGGGGAAAGAGAGGACGGGGGAGCGGGCTGATGTGTGAACAGGAAGAACAGGAGAAGATAAGAAGGCTTTTAGTTTTGAGGTGCCTCAAAGCAGGAGAAGATAAGAAGGCTTTTAGTTTTGAGGTGCCTCAAAGCAGGAGAAGATAAGAAGGCTTTTAGTTTTAAGGTGCCTCAAAACAGGAGAATATAAGAAGGCTTTTAGTTTTAAGGCGCCTCAAAACAGGAGAAGATAAGAAGGCTTTTAGTTTTAAGGCGCCTCAAAACAGGAGAAGATAAGAAGGCTTTTAGTTTTAAGGCGCCTCAAAAAAGGAGATCAGAAGGCTTTCACAAAGGTATCTGGCAAAAAGCAGATGGATTATGGCAGAGGATAAGCCAGATGGACAAGGGAGAGTGACTCACTGACTCCCCTATGACACCTGACATGATGATGCATGCACCTGTGTTGAATGAGAGGAAGGGGGCAGTCCGTCCCTATGGTTGTGCTACATTTTTCTTCTCCAATACAGCCTGTGAAGACGGGGCCTGACCTGTTTCCTCTGCACACGCTGGCCCAGCTCCGGCGCAATTTGAGCACTTTACCAAATTGCTACTTCAACACTCAACACAGATTCTATTTCCAACACGTACACAAATTCCACTTGAGCCTGCTTGTTGTCCTGCCATGAGAAGGCTCCCCCACGGAAATCAACCCGCAGTGCGGCCCCTCCCATTGCCACAACTGTTTTCAGCACCATACGTATTCACAACGCAACACTTACACAGATTCCACTTCAATCCGCTTGTCGTCGTGCCATGAGATGGCTCCCCCACGGGGATCAACCCACAATGCGGCCCCTCCCACTGGGGGTGAGGCGTGATGACGTGGCGCCAGCCAGCTGGCAGCAGGAACAGCTGGCAGTCCTCCGACAGCAGCACGATGCTGACGTGGCGGAATCTGTGGAGCACGTTCACGTTCCCAAACTCGTGGTCCATGCGCCCCCCCAGCGACCCCACCACTATCACTCTGTGGTCCGGCCGAACCACCATTGCTGGGAGAAGAGCTTTGGGCTGGGGTTGGTCCGGCAGAGGCAAAGCAGGAGGCTCGGGTCTAGGTACGGGCGTGGTAGAGGAAGTTTCTTGGAGTTGTGGGACAGGTGGAGAAGAGGGAGGATCTGGTGTGGAGTTGGGGGGAGATGACGACGATGGTGTAGGGGTGATGATGGTGGGTTCGGCACCGTTGGTGTTGGCATTGGCGTTGGTGCTGGTGTTGGTGGTGGTGGTGGTGGTGTTGGTATTGGTGGTGGTGGTGGTGGAAGAGGTTTGAGGCACAGCAGTAGGCTCAGGGAGGGAGGAAGGGGAAGCAGGGATGGGCGACGGAGTGATGGAGCTGCCATGGCCGGTGTCTAGCAGGATGCGGTTGATGCACTTGTGCAGGTCCGTGGTGTCCTGGTCCTTGCTCATATCCACGATCTCGGCACCCTGCACCAACACAAGGTGTGTATGGAAGGGCAGAGGGGGGCAGAGGGATAATGAACGATGCACTTGTGCAGGTCCGTCCGTGGAGTCCTGGTCCTTGCTCATATCCACCATCTCAGCTCCCTGGTGTAAGGTGAATGAAGGAGAGAGGAAGGAGAGAGGAAGGAGAGAGGAAGGAGAGAGGAAGGAGAGAGGAAGGAGAGGCGGGGATGGGTGACGGAGTGACGGAGCTGCCATGGCCGGTGTCGAGCAGGATGCGGTCGATGCACTTGTGCAGATCCGTGGTGTCCTGGTCCTTGCTCATATCCACCATCTCGGCTCCCTGCACCAACACAAGATCAGGTTGATGCTATTGTGAATTCGGTAGTGTTCTGGTCACCTCTTCTCACCTGTTCTGGTCCTCGCTCAGGGAGGAGGCGGGAAGAGAGAGGGTTGGGCCACGGAAAAAGGTGAGAGTGGAATGACTTCTGAGTCGACTCAATAATTATCTCCCTATTGTGAGGTCGGTAGTGTTGGGTGGGATGGGGGTCACTTGTTCTGGTCGTTGCTCAGGGAGGAGGGGGCAACGAGAGAGGGTTGGGCCACGGAAAAGGTGAGAGTGGATTCGAGCATGTGTGAGCTGATCCGAGCTCACCGGCTCGTAGCGCACGAACAAGCAAGTTAACTACTCTGCAGCTTACAAAAGTAACAGCATTACCTTATAGCGTGTAAAGAGTAGAACCAGCGCACGAGCTTACTAGAGATAAACCCACACACTCACAAGCTGCTTGTAATAAGCCAGAACTTGCGGCCGAGCGGAGTCAAGGTCGCCCTTGATGATGTGAGGGACGAACCTGGGAGGGAAGAGGGTTGGGACGGGGGAGGAGGGAGGGTTGGAAGGGGGGAGGAGGGAGGGTTGGGAGGGGGGGAGAGATAGGGTTGGGAGGCGGAGAAGAGGGAGAGAGGGTTGGGCGGGATTAAGAGGGAGAGATGGCCGGGGGGTGGGGGTGAGGGGAGCAGCTCAGGCGTCAAGGCTGCCCTTGATGATGAGTGGGGCCTACCAGGGAGGGGGGGAGAGAGAGAGGGGGGCGGGGAGGGTGGGGTGGGGGGGAAAGGGGGAAGAGGTTCCAGCAGGGGGGGCCGGAGGGGGAGCAGCGGATGACAGGGAGTCAATGCCACAGCAGGAGGAAAGAGGACGAACGATGAGACACACTAGTAGGGGGACACAACAAGGACTACCATGCCTCCAATAGTGGCATTTCGAGGTTCAGTAGCCCCAACCAACCAGGGAGTAGCCAAACTGAGAAAACCGCAAGTGAGAAGTATCACGGGAAAATTGCAACCAAGCCGTCCAATCCAGACTCACCTTCGTCTGACGTCATCAGGGTCCTCCCCGGGGAACATTCCTGGAAGCTCGTCGTACAGCCGGTTGATCCCCCCATCCGCGCACAGGCGCAGTGAACCCGCTGGACTTGGGGGAGGGCGGAAGAGAGAAGGGGGAGGGGAGGGGGAGGAGGGGAAGAGATAGTTGCTTGGAGAGGGGGAAGCCAGTTCCTACACCATCCGCCCCATCCGCCCCATCCACGCACAGGTAAATGAGGGCCTTTAATGGGGTGAGACGATGGGGGTCAGGGGGGTTCGGGGTGGGATGGGGGGAGAGGTTGGGTGTGGGGGAAGGGGGAGGGGGTTTAGGGGGTAGTGGGGAGGAGGGGAAAGGGGAGAACGGGATGGGGAGTGGCGGAGTGGGGGGAGGGATAGGGAGGAGAAAGGGGGGAGTTTGGACCAAAACGGGAAAGTTATGAGACAAACAGCTCAGCTCGGCGCGCTATGAGACAAAACAGCTCAGCTCGGCGCGCAACTGCACAGCATAACAGGGACGGCAGCGACGGCAGCGACGGCAGCGACGGCAGCGACGGCAGCGACGGCAGGGACGCTTCAACGAGGGACGCCCCACCGAAGGACGCTTCAACGACGGGTGCCTCTACACAGTAACCCTATTCGCCAACGCGCGGGTGAAGCAGCGAGGCGCACCTTGCTGCCAGAGAATCGGCGTGAAAAGCGGGAGCTTGAAGTTTAGGATCACTAGCGACGTGTTTGGCTGGGCTTTAATCTCCTCTCGCTTCCCGTCGACGATCTTGAGCTCTGATTCGTGGAGAACATAGTCGCTGACGTGGATGGCTTCTGGTAGCGAGCTCGTAAACGCTGGAGCCGCCGCAGCGCATCCGCTGCTGTCACGCGCGTTAGTGTCACGCCGCATGGCGGACGGGCTTCGCGGAGAGGATGAGGGGAAAAGCCGCCAGAATGGGGTTGCCGGGGGTGCGTGCGCGGAGAGAAGGCGCGACGAGGGCCCTGCATGCGCGGAATGCGCGGAGAGCGGAACTCCGGGGGGGGACAGTGCGGAAGCGGAAGCTTTGCGCGACGAAGCGCGCGCCCCGCTGGTGGTTGCGGTGAGGGTCGTGGCGACGGTCGCCGTGCTGGTTACCCGTTTCGTTCGGGTGAGGGTGGCTGTGTTGCACGAGGAGAAAGTGAGGGGGCAAAGGCCGCCAGCGAGAGCGCGAAAGACGGGGAGGTTGCAACGGCGAGAGCAGAGGCATAGACGAAGCATAGTGTAGAGAGACTAAACTACACCTACTAATAGCGCGTATGGCGGGAAAAAAACTCCCGACCATAGGACGAATGCTGGCGCGAGTGGCGGTTGGAGAACAAGGGGGCTAAGTAACCAGTACTGGTCGCAAATCCTTTTGGATACTTAGAAAACTGGGGCCTGGAATTCCATTTTCAGCACCTAGGGAAAATCACGGATTTTAGGGTGACAAGAACTGAAGTGACCAGAAATGACCTGTCTTGATTGGCTGATCCCGCACTTCAGTTCCTGTCACCCTAAAATCCGTGATTTTCTGGAACGAAAAAAAGTTCAGTTCTGGGATGGAATTCCAGCCTGCCTTTTTTTCGTTCCAAGGCGGGAATGGTGCAGGTGCTCGACAAACGCACATCCTACTAGAGATGTGAACCTAAGCTTTGGGTTTGATGACGTGCAAGTACACCTCAGCTCACAGCACTTAACATTCAGTACTCTGGTCTTAGATGCGCCTTATTCCCATCATATTATATCCAGAACGACATTTCATGAGTTTAGCACGCATCCGTTCTGTTATCAGTATTATTAAGCGGCAGGTTCCTACGTCATGCGTTGTAACCTTTATACGGTATGAGGTTGAAGTGTCCAACGTTTCAAACAAAGTAGAGAATGACTCTTATTATCACCACCAGTTGAATAATCAATGTTGGTATGCATTGAAAATATTGCATTGTACGCCAAAAGTGGAAGAAGCGAATAACGCATCACACGAAGTCCCTGTTGGGGGTCCTCAGGCAGCCTGGAGTTTCTTTTCAAGTTCAACTACAGAGTGGACTTCAATGCGGGAGTGAGGAGGCGAAGGGTTGAGTTGAGCGGTATGTGCATTGCTGTCAAAAACTGCTTCATGACTGAGTGACAGTGTGAAAAATGGCCTGTCTATCACCTGAGCCTATCAGATGGGCTCGTCCCTGAACCCACCTGGGCGGACACATGAGTAGAGCACTGAGCAGGTTGCAGTGGGGGTGCCTCTACGAAAAATCTGGCGAAAGCCTTGACGACACGACACGACACGACGCGATGGAGTCCTCCGACCTCTCCCCCCATCGTGTTTCAACCACAAGTGGACACTATTCACACGCCGCGCCAACCATAAATACGGCCAGGGGCGTTTCTGAATCCAGCTGGATCAGCAGGAGCGAGGCAAACTGCCCATGAGCAGAACCGTCAGATTCCAAGTACTGTATACAGTACTTTTCTTGTGAAGGGTACAGTTGCAAGAATCACAGCGAAATGAAGGGTGATAATGTATAGTCCGCCGGACAGGGAAACATATATTTATGGAAGGAATGTAACGCATGAGTGATTGTTGCATAATACGGGAAAGTTGTTGACACGACAGGGGTCTGGGAGATGCAGGTCAGGGCGTGAAAAGGCTCATCTAACGTCCGAAAGAGATTACTGTAAGAAGTACCAAGAAGTTCAACATTCTCTACTTCAGCTTGTGGAAAATGTTCGGATTTTGGGCGCGCTGTAATGTGGGGGGATGTTGGGAATTTCACGAAGTTGGACCACAATCCTGCACAAGTCCTGCTGTTGACCACTGGGCATGCTCCAATCTGTACAGTATTTATTGGATTAGAAGCTGAGCCACACATCCCTCATCCCCTCGTGGCAACCTGGCTTGAACAGTTGCTGCAGATGGTTACCAGCGCACATGGTCGATCACAGTTCGTTGGACACGTGCTAGCGTGTCACAGCTAAGACGGTTGCTTGCGACACCTTCCACCTTCATATGCTTCGTTGTTGTCTCGGGCGAAGTTCAATCGCCGCAAACGAAATGTGGTGACGCTGCACCGCCATGAGCACGCTGATGTCGAAGCTGCACATCGGTCGCTGAACGTGCTCCCATCAACCCTTGATGCATGCTGCATGAATTTCTCTCCTTTTATTTTCAGAATAGCCCTTTCTTTGCGTATGGGCCCTAATCAGGGTTATCCAATGGTTGGACGATTTCGCTCGTTGAGCCTTGACGCGGCTCTGGCTAAAAGCCGCCGTTTGTTCCTGGTGGTTTTGACACTTGCGTGGGTAGAATATTTATTGTTTCGAACTTGGAGGGAGGCTCGTGAAGTCTGGGCTGAAAGCTCGGGCAATAACTGTTACTGGCGGCTGATGGCTGTCACACAAGATCGTTCGACGGTTTCCTTGGTGCTTCGCCGTCATCATGACGTTCTGCTGTTTGCTGGTTGATCTCGCCACGCCCTGGCGGCGCCCTGGTTTCTTCAGGAGGAATCAGGGCAGCTGCCCTGAGCCGAACCGCGTTTCCGTTTTCGTGCCTGTCAACGATTCTCTCAGAGCAGGGGTTTCGAGCGTTGAATATTTCCACGATGTGCCCTTAGCGAAATGGTCCTATCGAAGACGAGACCGAGCTGCCCTGGTCCACTTTTGGTGGGGGCAACATCGCATCGATTCGCTCGATTTCTAACTGATCCAATCGGATGCTGCTCTGGTGCAATGCAAGCATCTCTTCGCTGCCCTTGCGCCCTCACCTCACGCATTTTGCCCTGATTTCTGCCTCTTGATCGTGATCTGATACCTCTGCCCCACTTCCCTGCCGAGTTTTCGCCAACGTGGACAGCCATCACTGGCAGAGCATTTAGCAGAGTTGCTTGACAGCCCAAAAGTGCTTTTGGACTTCCAGTTTAGAAGAGACAGGCAGTTTCGCTTTGTCCAATTTTCCCACAGCTACCTAGCAGCCACTCACATGACCTTGAGCTTGTAACGCACCTAGCTTGTTTACAACTAAAGGCGCTCGTTCCTAATCCAGTCTTCAAGAGAAACACTTCCGAACAGCCACCTCGCAAGTGCTTCCTGCACTCACAGAATCGAGCTTGTTGTGAAATTAGCGCCCTTTGGTATAATCACTAGATCTTCGAAGTACACCTAGTGCTGTAGGCGCGGGCATAGCGCTCACGAATCACGATGACGAGAACGCCGTGTTGCGAGAAAGCAGAGGTTCGAAAGGGGCCGTGGACGCGAGAGGAGGACGAGCTCCTCGTGAAGGCGATTAAGGAGCATGGCGAGGGGAACTGGAGCGCGATTCCCAAAAAAGCTGGTGAGTCGGCGGCGCTTGCGCGTCATTTTCGCATTCGCGTCGTCCATTGCCGTCGCGCCATGGAGCCTCCGCATTATGACAAGCAGTTTCACCTTTTACTATAACCTGCTATATCTTACTCGTCTCACTTGCTCACTTGCGCAATCGCAGGGCTGATCCGTTGCGGCAAGAGCTGCCGCCTCCGGTGGGCAAACTACCTCCGCCCGGACTTGAAACGCGGCGCGTTTTCGACGGAAGAAGAGGCGCTGATCGTGCGCCTGCACAAGGAGATGGGCAACCGCTGGGCCAAGATCGCCCTCGAGCTGCCCGGGCGCACCGACAACGACATTAAGAACCACTGGAACACGAGAATCAAGAAGAAGCTGCGCGAGTCGGGGATCGACCCCGAGACGCACCTTCCGCTCGCGACGCGTCTGGCAGATGGTAAGCCGCGGAGAGATATGAGCCTTGTTCGACAAGAGGACGTAAGGTCGATCGAACGACGAGGATAATGACTGACGGAGTCTTAGAAAGGGTTCGTGTATCAGGGGGGCGGCGAGAGAAGCCGCATCTGCTCTCCAGAGTTCTTCTCTACTGACGGCGTCCTAGAAAGGGATCGTGTATGGGGGGGGCGTCGAGAGCAATCGCTACTGCTTTCGACAATCCGAGTAGCTTTCTTCGCGCTCGATGCATCCTTGCTGAAAGATCTTCTGTTTTCTAAACCTTGCGTCTCCAGGAATGGCGCTCCATGCGATCAAGCGTCCGCTGCCCGCAGTAGTCGGTCCTGCCGGATCTCCCTACCCGTTCCCGCCGTCGAAGAAGCAGTGCCTCGAGCCCGCCGTAAACCCGGCTGTTCCCGCCTGCGCTACTTCCCCACCGCAACCGCAAGCGGAAGCGCTAGCGCAAGCGCAAGTGCCTTTCTGTCCTTCGGCGGAAGTCATCTCTACTGGCGATGTGAAAGCGGAGTTTCCGCTTCAAGCTGGCGCGGGCGCGCCCGAGCCAGTGCAGCGGAGAGTGGGTTTCCGCAGCAGCAGCTGCAGCAGCAGCGACGAGGACGAGGGGGATAGCGAGGGTCCGAGTCTAGTCGACCACGATGGCGAAATCGAAGCTGGTTCGCCAACAAGCGTAATTGTTTCACAAATTGGCGCTCGCGCTCGGGTAACGACGACGGAAGCAGCTGGGGGTTCGGGGTTGTCCGCGCGTGGGGGAGTAATCAAGGGTGGAAAGGGTGGGGCGGAGGAAGAATATGCGTCGTTAGCATCGGCATCGACGGTTCAGATGGTTCGAACAAACGCGATGCTTTCGCCCAGCGCTCAAGGCTCGAACTCGCTTTCGCCAGCAGGCGCTTTCGCCAAACTTCCGAATCGTTCGTTCAAAGTTCCGCCGCCGTCGCTCATCATCCCGTGTTCCGCTTCCGCGGAGGAGGCGGAGTTTCCGGTGGGAGTTCAGCTTGCGCCCGCCGCAGCGGCGATCGGCGGAGCTGTATTGGCGAGCCCGTTCATGCTTCGTAACTGGTGAGCGCGCTATAAAGCACAAGAGAAAAACACCTGAACTAGAAGGAAGACGGGTTTTGCAACAACGATATGCATACACGTCCTTCTTTATGAATAACCTTGATGAAGGGTTTTGCCCGTTCCATGTAGAGAATCAAACGCTTGCACAAATCAAGTTGCACTTAAATTGGTAATTCCTGCCAAGATGGCCAAGGACCAACTCTAATGGTTTCTCTTTTCTTCTTTTGTTTTTGCCCTTCCATTTGTCTTCTGCAGTTTATGGGACAGCTCCGATCTCAACTGCCCCTGGGCCGATGACCTGGACATGGACACGTCAGCAGCCCTCCCTGTGCTTCCCAGCCCAAAGTTCATCCCCCTCACTCCATCCAGCAACGCCTTTGGCAGCTTCAGCTTCGGTAATAGCACACCCAGTAACAACACCAACTCTAGCAACTACAGCTACGGATACAGTGGCGGCAGCAGCAGCAATTACAGCAGCACGAACAACAGCAGCAACAGCAACACAGCAGCAGTCCAGTTCTGTTTCCCCACCATGCCCACCCCTCCTGCCTCTACCGCTGCAGCCGATCTCACCGCTTTCGACCATCTCCCCCAGCCACTCACCGACAGCCACCTGGCGCTCCATGCTGCCATGGACAGCTCAGATTGCCAGCGGCTGGGAGGCGGGCCGAGCAGATGCGAGGGGCTGGGATCAGCAGGGGTGGGCAGCAGCACAGCAGCAGCAGGCGAGCTAGTCCCCATGGCTCTGGTCTCCCCCCCTCTCCCAGGCACCGTGCCCCTTCCCTCAGGCGCCCTAGATGGGCTCACTCTGGAGATGGATGTGAAGGCGGATGGAGGGATGGTGGGGGTGGATGGGGGGGTGGAGGAGGAGGATGTGGGGGAGGATGTGAGCCTGGGCATGTGCCTGTCGCCAGAGGAATTTGACTCGTTTGACCTGGGTCTGCCGCCCGGCGTGTGTCCGTCACCCATGCCTGGTTTCAGTAACAGTATCTTCTCCCAGGCCACTCCTGCTGCGGCTACTCCTGCTCCTGCTAGTGGCTTTTAAGTCGACTCAAAAGTCACCCTGGCGTGTGCCTTTCTCCTGTGCCTGGACTCAGTAACAGTATCTTCTCCCAGGCCACTGCTCCTGCTGCTGCTTCTGCTGCTGCTGCTGCTCCTACTCCTGCTCCTGCTGCTGCTGGTGGTGTTACTGGCGCTGGTCTGCTGGTGTTTATGGTTCTGCTGCTCTGTGTCAGTATGCAGGAGGAAAAGGGGGAAGGAAAAAGGGGAGCAAAGCAGAGCGGATACGGTAGTTATCTCTGACCGGTTTGTGAAGGCGGGATGCGCGAAACGCAGGGAGAGCATTCCTTGCTCTGGCAGGGAAAATCCCGCTTAGTGTAAAGATTCTTCAGTTAGTGGGCCAGGTAGGGGCTGGTTAGAAGCCCGGGAGGGACAGGGATAGTGCGGAGTTAGTTAGTGGATAAGGCGAGCGAAATCCAAACCGACGGGATATTCAGTTCAGAAACTGGGGCCTGAAGGGGGATGAAAATGCGGGCTACGGGAGAAACCTGGCAATGCGGAGGAGGGAGGTGTATAGTGTAGGAGCAGATGCTTCCTCTGAAGCTCTGCCGGGGTTTGCAATCAACGTGCAACCCTGCTGCTTGAAGCTAACAATTTTGTCTGCCAAGCCAATCCTTATATATTCAATTGTTAATATCTGCCCATCTGTACAGCTCACATCGCATAAAAGAGATTACTGTAACTAATGGATTTGGCCTAAATCTTATTGAGTTGATTTTACTGAAGGGCTGACTGTCAAGTGCACTGCCTGTCCTCCAGTAAGATCCCACCAGTGCTAATTGTCAAACATGTGTATTTGTCATGTTTGTATAGACTGTATAGAGTCACCTCTTAGAGGATACAAAACTTAGATATATTTGTGTGTACTCTCACTTTACCATTATTCAATTATTCTGATATGGTATCACGCGTAGGTAGGATCCCCCCCCCCCCACCTACCGCTTCCGCTCATGCCCCCTAGCGCCCCTCCTGGGCCCCGTCGCGCTCCACCCAGGCCCCGTCGCGCTCCTCCCAGGCCCCCTAGCGCCCCTCCTGGGCCCCATCGCGCTCCTCCCAGGCCCCGTAGCGCCCCTCCTGGGCTTCGTAGCGCCCCTGCCAGGCCCCGTCGCGCCCCTCCTGGGCTTCGTAGCGACCCTGCCAGGCCCCGTCGCGCCCCTCCCAGGCCCCGTCGCGCTCCTCCCAGGCCCACTAGCGCCCCTCCTGGGCCCCGTCGCGCTCCTCCCAGGTCCCGTAGCGCCCCGTCGCGCCCCTCCTGGGCCCCGTAGCGCCCCTCCTGGGCCTCGTCGCGCCCCTCCTGGGCTTCGTAGCGCCCCTCCTGGGCCCTGTACCGCCCTCCCAGGCCCCGTCGCGCCCCTCCCAGGCCCCGTCGCGCCCCTCCCAGTCCCTCTAGCGCCCCTCCTGGGCCCCGTCGCGCTCCTCCCAGGCCCCGTAGCGCCCCGTCGCGCCCCTCCTGGGCCCCGTAGCGCCCCTCCTGGGCCTCGTCGCGCCCCTCCTGGGCTTCGTAGCGCCCCTCCTGGGCCCTGTAACGCCCTCCCAGGCCCCGTCGCGCCCCTCCCAGGCCCCGTCGCGCTCCTCCCAGGCCCCCTAGCGCCCCTCCTGGGCCCCGTCGCGCTCCTCCCAGGCCTCGTAGCGCCCCTCCTGGGCTCTTTCGAGCCCCTCCTGGGCTCCGTAGCGCCCCTCCTGGGCCCCGTCGCGCCCCTCCTGGGCCCCGTAGCGCCCCTCCTGGGCCCCGTCGCGCCCTCCTTGGGCCCTGTAGCGCCCCTCCTGGGCCCCGTCGCGCCCCTCCCAGGCCCCGTCGCGCCCCTCCCAGGCCCCGTAGCGCCCCTCCTGGGCCTCGTCGCGCCCCTCCTGGGCTTCGTAGCGCCTCTCCTGGGCCCCCCGTCGTGCCCCTCCTGGGCCCCGTAGCGCCCCTCCTCGGCCGCGTCGTACCCGTCGCCGCCGCCCGGCCCCGTCGTGCCCGCCCGGCGCCGTCGCGCCCGCCCGACCCCGTCGCCGCCGCCCGGCCCCGTCGCGCCCGCCCGGCGCCGTCGCCGCCGCCCGGCCCCGTCGCGCCCGCCCGGCGCCGTCGCCGCCGCCCGGCCCCGTCGCGCCCGCCCGGCGCCGTCGCACCCTGCCCAGCCCGTCGCGCTCGCCCGGCCCCGTCGCAGCCGCCCGGCCCCGTCGCACCCGCCCGGCCCCGTCGCACCCTGCCCGGCCCCGTCACAGCCGCCCGGCCCCGTCGCACCAGCCCGGCCGCCGTCCCGCTCGCCCGCCCCCGTCGCACCGGCCCGGCCCTGCCGCACTCGCCCGGCCCCGTCGCCCCAGCCCGGCCCCGTCGCGCCCGCTCGGCCCCGTCGCCCCGTCCCGGCCCTGTCGCATCAGCCCGGCCCCGTCGCGCCCGCCCGGCCCCGTCGGGCCAGCCCCGGCCCCGTCCTCCTCACTGGTACGGTCCCCCCCCCCCCCCCCCCCCCTCCCACCCCGCCCTGCTCCGTGCCGCCCTGCACCGCACTGCACCGCACTGTACCGCACTGCACCGCACTGCACCGCACTGTACCGCACAGTACCGCACTGCACCGCACTGCACCGCACTGTATCGCACTGCACCGCACCCCACCTAGCTGCACCGCCCTGCACAGCACTGGACTGTTCCTGATGGCGGCGGAGCTTCGCTTCGACGCTGAAGGTCAGCCCCTAGAGTTCGAGGCGTGGCTTGCCGACCTCCGCCGCCAACTCACTGGCCAGTGGCAGGATGGTGAACCGCTTTCCGCACACCTTGACGGTACGCTCCCCTGCCCAGACCCTCCTGCTATTCTGCCCGCTGACCCCACACCCACTGAGCGTGAGTCTACTGCTGCCACTGCCCGTGCGCGCTCTGTCTGGCTTTCTCGCGATGCTGTCGCCCAGCTTGCCATTAGCAACGCCCTCCCCCCGTCCGAGCGTCCTCGCTTTAGGTCCCTCACTACTGCTCAGGCATACTTAGATGCTGTCATCAAGCGCTATTCCACCCCTCCGGCTGCCTCGGTGGGTCGCCTGATCCTCCCGCTGCTCTTTCCTGACCTTGCTTCGTTCCCCACTGTCTCTGACCTCGCTGCCCACCTGCGCTCGATAGAGGAGACCTGGCGCGCCGCATGCACTGACGCACAGCTTAGAGCCCACCAGCCGCCCATTACCTCTACCCTCTACCTGCTTGCCACCCGCCTCCCTGACCACCTTGCTGTCGCCCGCGACCGCTTCCTTAGTGTTCACCCCGCAGACCTCACCCTCACTGACTTTGTCGACACCCTGACTGTGATAGAGACCCGTCACCGCTCCATCGCCCAGGCGAGCGGTGTCGTGCCGGTCCCTATCTTTCAGGGTTGTGCCCCCGCTCAGTGTACCTTCTCCGACGGCTCTGCCGCAGTGGCTGAGACTGCTGCTGCAGCGCAGGCCCGTTCTGGGAAGGGCCGCCGCCCCAAGGCTGGGCGCGGCGGAGGGGGCGGCGGGGGTGCGGGCGGGGGTAGTGGTGGGGTCGGGTCGCCTGGTGCTGGAGCGGACGAGGGGACCCTGCCCAGTCCAGCTGAGTCGCCGCCCCTGCAGTTGCAGCAGCCGCAGCAGCCGCCGCAGTCGCAGCCTTCGCAGCAGCCGCCGCAGCCGTCGCAGACGCGGCAGACGAGTGTTCTCCCGCCAGGGTGGCCCGGCGCTGGCGGTGGACGGGCGCGTGGTGGTGTGCCGCGTGGTGGCTCTGCCGGCGGGCGTTGTCAGTACCAGATCCAGACCGGTCCTCGCCGCGGTTTCGTTTGCGGTAAGATCGGTCACTCCACTCCCCGCTGCTTTCGTCGCCTGGACGACCTCTTTTGTCAGCGTTTCGGCCCGTCGCCAGACCTCCCGGACTGGCACAGTTTGCTTAGTCGTCAGATTCAGATCTTTGATATGGACATGGATGCCATTGTTTCTGCTCTGCATGTGATGTATGCTGATGACTCTAGTGTGCTTCCGACTTATTACTCACTGTTGCCTAGTGTAGGTGTGCCTAGCTTAGCCCCCCCTGCTACGTCAGGCGTAGGATCCCCTGCTTTGTGTAGTCTTGGTGCTTCTGCCGTCGTTCCGTCGCCAGACCCCTCGGCTTCGCTTTCCTTCACCTTGGACTCTGGCGCCTCTCAGTGTTTCTTCCGCGACTCCACCACCCTGACGCCGCTTCCTGTTCCTGCTGCCGTTTCTCTTGCTGACCCCTCCGGCGGTCCGGTAGTCGCCCGCAGTTCCACCACCCTTCCCTGTTCGGCGGTTCCTTCGGGCTCTCTTACAGGTCTGCATATCCCCTCGTTCTCCAGGAACCTAGTTGGTGTCGGCTGCCTCCAGGACCTTGGCGTCACCACTACGTTCCCTGGTCACGAGCGGTATGCTGTTTGTACCGAGGCCGCCACTGGTGCCCCCCTGTCCACGTTCCCCCGGGACCCGGTGTCCGGCCTGTTCACTCTGGACACCGTGCCCCCCCCGGCTGGAGCGCCCCCTCAGGTGGCTGTGTCTACCCAGGTTGCTGCTGCCTGCTCCTGTCGCTCCCTCACTCACCCGACCCTCCTGTGGCACCACCGCCTAGGTCACCCTGCGCTCCCGCGTCTGCGTCACATGTCCCAGCACGGTCTTGTCCTTGGTCTCCCAGGTTCACTCCCCGTGTTTCCCTCCTCCCCAGCTCCACCTTGCACGCCTTGTGTCGAGGGTCGGCTTCGCCGTGCCCCTCACTCCTCCTCGTTCCCCCCTACCGCCGCGCCGCTGCAGACCCTGCACCTGGACGTCTGGGGCCCCGCCCCCGTCCCTGGGCCGCGTCGCGAGCGCTACTTCCTTGTGCTTGTCGACGACTTCACTCGTTACACCACAGTCTTTCCCCTGGAGCGCAAGGCCGACGTGCCTGGCGCCCTCATCCCCTGGCTTGTCTCTGCGCGTGTCCACCGCGGTCTCCCTGTCTTGCGTCTTCACTCAGACCGTGGTGGCGAGTTTGCCTCAGGTGTCCTTGGTCGCTTTTGTCGTGCGGAGGGCATCACCCAGACGTTCACCCTACCGGACTCCCCACAGCAGAATGGGGTCACTGAGCGACGCATCGGCTTGGTCATGGAGGTCGCTCGCACCTCCATGGTCCATGCCGGTGCACCCCATTTTCTGTGGCCGTTCGCTGTGCGCTACGCTTCTCACCAGCTTAACCTGTGGCCGCACCCTCAGCAGCCGCAGGTTTCGCCGACCCGTCTGTGGACTGGGTCTCCTGGTGACGCGTCTGCGTTCCACGTCTGGGGCTGCCTTGCTCACGTCCGTGCCTCCGGCACGGACAAGCTCACTGCCCGCACCCTTCCCTGCGTCTTCCTCGGTTTTCCCCTTGACGCGTCCGACTGGCACTTTTACCACCCGCCGTCTCACCGCTTCTTTCACTCTCGTGACGTCACCTTTGACGAGTCCGTCTCCTACTACCGCCGCTTCCCCCACCGTGGTCCCCCGGTTACTCCCCCCCTGTTCCTGGTCACCCCTTCCCCGGTAGTCCCTGCCCCTCCTCCTCCTCCTCCCCGTCCCGCCCCCTCTGGTGTCTCCCATGTCACCCCCCTTCCGTCCGTGGACCCGGTTGAGGAGTCTTCTGACTCTGGTGGCCCTCCGGTGCAGTCCTCGCCGGCCGCCCCTCCCCAGGTGTCCCCTCCCCAGTCCCCTCCTCCGCCGTCCCTGCCGCCACTGCAGCCGTCGCCGTCG